AACAACAACAACAACAACAACAACAACAACAACAACAACAACAACAACAACAATAACAACAACAACAACAACAACAACATCATCAACAACAACAACCAGAATAACTTTACGGCAGTTACAACAGTAAAGCTGAGGGGAAGAGAGCAAAGAAAATCAACACTTAGAACTACAGTAATTTATAAACGACAAAAATCAGAAAATCAAGTCTAATTGTAACATAATATGTTTTATTTCAGTAACAATGTGAAATACAACATGGGGGACTTATGATGGTTCAATAGAATCAATGTACTGCCACCACTGCACAAAGTCATAATTTTTGGCAGCACCTTAGATCAGATTTTTCATTATGGAGAATCCATTCCTTTAGAGAGCAAAATTCGGAAACTGGTAATTGGTCTACTTATCATAATTTTGAACGAAATAGGTTGTTCTAAAGCGCTTACGCATATGTCTGTTTTTTGACGGTGAGAGAGCTTGAAAGGTAGAGAGAAGAGAAAGAGAGAGAGAGAGAGAGAGAGAGAGAGAGAGAGAGAGAGAGAGAGAGAGAGAGAGAGAACGAGAGATTCATTTCTTCACACTTGTTCATGCTTCTGTTAAATTAAATTTGAAATCATGCTCTTGGAAAAAGAAACAAAGAAAGACAGAATAATATGACAAATTGCACAAAATATCAACAGTTGGATTTACCGTAGGAATAAGCTGATAATAGAATAATAATTTGAGTGTTTCACTTTTTTTCGAGTGTTTTCTGTCATTTCATCTTAAAATCTAGCGTTGAATGAGTACTTTTAATGTTCTTAATTTAATAACTCAATTCATCAATAAAGGTGGGAAAACAAATTTAAAATAAATACATAAGGAGTTCGGTGCGGTTCGTTAAATTTGTGTTTCTTTGATTTACATGGCATCGTTGACTCGAACTCCTTGAATAAAGAAGGAATCTTTCATTTAACAAGAAAGATTCTACATTTGCTAACCTAGATGTATCAATTGTAATAATGATGCAGAATGGTTGTTATAGGGCATTTAGTTATTGAACACTTTCAAGGTTAACCAGAAGGTGGCTTTTATTAGTAATTAACATAACATACAAGCAGCATACTCTTAGACTTGCTTCTCAATTCTCTCATTCTCATTCTCTCTCTCTCTCTCTCTCTCTCTCTCTCTCTCTCTCTCTCTCTCTCTCTCTCTCTCTCTCTCTCTCTCTC